TTGATGCTGGCTTTCATTGAGTTCAACTTAGGTGTTCGTTTGGTTTATCCAGCATAACAGTTGGGTTGTCTAATATTTGCTTTTTCACCATCACCAATAAGATTTCTGTTATCCCTCATCACGAAACAGATCAGGTCAGGCAACAAAACAGCTTTCATCCCCAGAATCATCAGTACAAGAAAACTCTAAATCGGTTTTATGCAAAAGCAACTTAGACTCTGATTCGGTTATTTTTGTACTTTTAGCTCATAGTGTAGCAGATAGCGTTACAGAGAAGTTAATGAATTAACTAAATAATATATGTGCATATTCCTCGGAGAAATGTGTCCAAAAGCATGAACCACCTCGATATACAACACGTAACCACGATGCTTAGATATCTACCTTATTAACTCTAAATGGTCATAAGGTGAACATTTATGCGTGTTACATAAACTAGAAATCAGAGTGAAGTACTCCCTCCTTCGAAACCAAAAGATGCATATCAAAATATATGGATTTTAAGTGAACTTATTAAATAGCAAGCACACATAACATGGAAAATGTTAGCAAGGTAGATGATGAAGTCGTCTAACTAGTGTTGGCTTTCTTCACAGAGACGCCAAACTAAATATATTACTGATTGGGTGTAGAAGCGAAACGAAAAGTTTTAAAATGGAACTTGGTACCTGTTTGTACACGACGGGAAATGCAACTAATATAAGGTAATATTTAAGGTAAACAATATTTTGCTTGCTTGTACGATGGTGATATCAGAGTGCATCCATAAATAAGAACTACACCCCTAGTCTCCACAAACTTGAAGCAATACAACGATGCCCATTTGTGGTTTATCATGCCCTCCATATTTATGTAAACACAGACGTCGTTTTCCCGTTATCCGTGTGTCAATATAATTTTGGTCCCTCTCATTCCTTTGCAGTTTTATTCAATACTCAAGATGGAACAAATCACGCATCCCACAATTCACTTTTGGTCATATGATCGATTTAGAAGTCAGCTGTACTGCGTACTGGATACCAAAAACATGGTTACGGAGAAACACGAATTTTTTAAAACCACAAATGGAACGATAATTCTTTCACCCATTAAGGAAGAAATGTTCTCAGCAGGTACGCATCATTTGTCACAGTGAAAATTAACGTAGCTGAATATACGTAGGGACATGTAACTTCATTCACAGTCATGATGACAGTATAGGTATAGTTTTGGTACTAAGCAATAGCAGTGCAATCACCTTTTCAATGGATTTGTTAACATGGGTCAAAATTCTAAGCGTTTAGTAAGGTTGCAGCAATATATAACTTTCGCAGATGCAGTCAGATGATAAATGCGGCTGTGCAAATATAGCTGCAGCCTTGCCAAAAGTGTCACAATTTCATTTTAAAACTGCATTGATAATTATTTGTTCTGTTTGATTGAACAAGAAACCGTGTCATTTATGCGAACTGTAAGCCTGATAGATACACGCGTTAGCCTTTGACTTGATCCGAGTGCAATAATACCATTTCTATAGAAGTAGCCCATAGATCTCAGGATAATTTGACTACCGCTGTCACCTTAGATAGAAGATCGAACAATTTCGCTGCTTGCTACACTGTGTTTACAGTCGCAGAAACACCACAACCTCACCTGTTTGAAAATCGCACAGCATTTGCTTTGCTAATAATTACACATGAGAAAGCAAACTTTGGTGACTCGCATAAGGAAAGTACAATCATGTTATCCATCGCATTTTTCGCTGAGATTCGGACAGCAATTTGGTGCTGGTAACCATTATATTTATAAGATAACTTAAATTTATGCAGTGCAATTCTGTAATTAATAAATGTTTGTACAGCATACTACAAGATTACTTCATCAATTAGGATATCCGCTTCATGAATTTGAAGAATATTTGAACCAGTGGACGGGGCGATATCTATCGGTTGGTATGAATCAATAACAAGCAAGATGCATTGAATAAACATGTCAGACCGAAGTTACTACGAACTGAACTAGATTGAAAACATTGTAAGTAACCTCCGCAAGACTCAGCGTGTTGATGCACGCGTTTTCATACATGTAAATATTTACGTTGAAATCACGAGGCTGCGTAATGACTGTTGTACTCCTTACACTAAAATATTTTTTAATGTATTCTTCCGATCAGCTGACATGTTACGTAGCTGAACCATAATCCGGAAAAGCGGCAGACGCTCTTCGTGCTATTGGCACTCGGCAATGGTGCGCATCCCCTCGGTCCGCTACTGGGGATCGGACGCATGACTGCTAGAGGCTGACCTCAACTAGCCAGCAACCTAAGCCACTGAACCTTGGGGCACGGCAGCTAGAACACATAATTTGTAATCTAACTGGGATATAGCAAGACCTATCTCCTAATACCACACAGGCCACAACTAAAATTCTCCCACACATAAGTAATATAAAGTGTAGCCTGTCCTACTTTTAAATGCTATGCGTCTACTGAGAGGAAGCCATCATCTGGAGGCTAACCAGTGTCATCTGCAAGGGTAGTGACCTGCGTGGCAGTGGAAGATAGGTCGTGGTGTACATCAGTTGACTTGCAAATTATGTAGCCCAGCTGCGATCCCTCCGGGCTTAGTGGCTTATGCTACTGAATACTTGGCGTCAACTTCTAGCAGTCCGCAGAAAGGAACTAAGGGATGCGCACCACTGAAGAGTCCCAATAGCGCGAAAAGCGCTTGGTGCCTTTCCGGATGGTAATTGAACAATGTAGCTTGTAAACAGCTGGGACGAATAAATTAACAATTACTACTAATTTCCTTCTACTTATAAATAATGCAGAATAACTTTACATGCTGCTCACGGTTTTATCAGATTATTACTGAATTTTTACCGTGTAACACTTTCTCGGCATCTGGAACTAATGTATCACGCTTGCCGTATGGGATCTCTGTAGGCTTTAATCAAAGAATGCGATAACCATAATGTGGACAAAATCACCGGACTTCATATCCCTGCATCTAAATTTGGTCAACGTTTCAGTTTAGTAAAACATGAAAGACAAAACAGTTACCATTGTTAAAAATAAGTAATTGTGAGGACAGTACCAAGAAAATAAGTCATGCATCTTGGTACTTATTTTCATGGTACTTGTAATGTTCTAAATAATCCATTCTGAATTTCTATATTTTTGGACAGTGTATAAACGTAGTTCGCTTTTCGTATACAAATCGGAATTCCTGATCTCGATCGGGATAATTGCCTTTTTGGAATACGTATAAAAACATGTTATACGAATGCACTCGAGGAGAAGCACGGAGAAGGTAACATGTTGATAAGTGACCGGCTGATTCTGAGACGAAGGACTGCGTTCATCAAAGAGCTGAATGGTTGCTATCACAAAGCCGGCTCAATTCATCCCGATAGTAATCGCAATAAAGCTAGCGCCATGTAATCTAAGGTTCACACAACGCTTTAGTAGTGAGCAACGTAATAATTTTGGGGCATAGTAATGTATCAAGCATTCTCCATAATCACTTGCTCTTGCCAGAAAACGACACAATTCCTGTGGGAGCGACGGCCCAAGTAGTAACTTGGTATCAATTGGGTGGACGAATTCGTAATAGTCAGAAGAATCTGCTAGCTATTGATGCGTTAATTTTAATTTGCAGGTTTCTTGCATAGCTAAGTTCAGGCCACTCAATGGGTTGGTGAGCAGCGGAAATATTTGCGCGTGCCTTAGTAATAATTTCATGAAACCGTTCGTCAGCCGTGATTGACGGCCAAATAACATTCATCATATCATCAGGTTAATCATACCAAAATTACCAGGAAGAGATTCGTTGTTTGGTGTATTCTGAGTAAGCAGCAGGACAGTGAAATGTCTTGTAGATCGGAAGTTATGTTTCTCACCTTTACCATTTCGGTGGGTGGGTTTGTAGACGGTAAAAATTAATGGCGTAATTGGTCGTCTTAGCGAGGTACCATGTGATCTCCTGGTGCCTAGTACTTCATGTTTTAATACAACATGAACGTCTCTCGACAGTCTGTTAGGTCGGTTCAGCTCACCACACACACATGCGTATTTTGATTTTAATACTTTAAGTAACATACTACAGCTGGACCTTACGGAGGCCATCAAAGCTGTCATGGGCACTTAGAAGCTGCAAAATATTAGATTAATTTTACTTTAAGTCAATCCGTGAAACTCGATAAAACTCATTTGTTGTATATTGGATGGATCTGGAATCAGCGTTAGAAAACAGTTGTTATTGAACGTCTTAGGGGACAAGGTGACGACATCTGAATTTGGGACGACTGCTATCTGTGCAATAAAAAGTAAATATTCCGAGATCTTTTTGTATCCGAATTTCAAACCGTCCATGGAACTAGCAGCGTCTCATATAAGGTTCAAATTTTATACAATCTGTTTTAGACTTAGCAATTGGTTGGGACTCTGATGTATTGTTTGTCCTATCTATGGCAGTCAATGGCCGAAGACATAAAGCGTCCGCCCAGTGATGCAAACTTCACCGGTCGGAATCTGCCTAAGTGCGGATGGCTCAGTATTATATTTATCCCGCGAACAACTTGTGGCGGTCTCGGAGTAACGAGGCGTCGGCGCGGCGTACCGTCTTACCGCTGATGCCTTTGTTCTGTCCATGCATAAAGCACGCAAATGTGTACTTTTGGAGTGTTTAGCATATAACTTCAGGACCACTAAGACCACATATGAAATGTTGACAAGGATGCGCAAATGAAGCGAACACTTGCAACATTTCGACTCGGCGTTTGATTCAATATATTTACTGTTTAAGCGGTATCTTTCTTTGTACAGCGGAATGTGCATCACCTATTGCTGACGTTTCCGGATATCGTTGAAAAGCTGTTTGATTTTTATGCCTTTTCTACAGACTTCAGGGTGAATATGGGACAAGTTCGTAAGTTATGGATTTGTGCTCTTCAAAAATCTTTCCGCTAATATAATGCATTGTATGTCAGAAGGGCGAAATCATCAGCTGAAAAATGTCCCGTTATACATGAGCTTTCTAAGCACTTATTTTTTCTCGACAGTGGACAGAGCTCGAATTCATTGCATAGTTTTCATCTGATGCCAAGGGCAGATAATGGACTAAACATTGTAATTTATTGGTCACCTTCTGCTGTACTCCTTATCAAATGGTGAGTATCACCGTAGAAAGTTTATGCTTCCAAAAGGTGAATTGTCTTGTGATTAGACAGTCTCTCGTGACCTTACAGTGAATCCAACCACTGATAGATGCGTCTACCAAAGAAATTGCATGATTGGCATATAGGACTTTAAGTTCTTATGCATTTTGTCATGTTATATGAAAGGCTTTCGTACCAGTATAGTCGATGGAAAATACCGAATTCATCGACCTCACTCAAATACCTTTATCGATCGCGGTATTACAAAGGTGTAAAGAAAACAAGCATTTTTAGTCGGCAGATTAATTTTACTGCAACAATTGGAGTACTCTAGATGATCCGGAGAGCAAACATGTCTATAGGAAATCGTTTCTTTGGAAATATCAAACAAGCCATTCCGTTGAGGTAGTTAACAATGACCGTTTACGATTAACCAAAGTGGTCACACAATGAATGTCTCTGCATGGAACTTTACTATTCCACTTATTGTATGTAAACGGCTGATGAAAATAAGCGAAAAGACTGAATTCAGCGTACCATGTCGAACTGCTGCTCTTTCATGTTATTCTGATATTTCCACTGCCTTAACTCCATACAACTGAACATAAGCATACGTTTGTTGCGGCTGTTAATCGATGTTACTATTGAAGGCTGTAAGAGCTCGCAGATAATTTTGACTTTTGCAATTGATGCGCGCCATGTTTAATAACACCAATAGGCGCCAGCCTTTACGCTATTTAATGCGCTCTAGAGTCGAATTTTACCTCAGGTCGTAATTTGTAAATGGGCTGTATCCCCTGATTATAAGCCAAATTTTTACCGATTTCGATGTCGATAAAAGTACTAATAACCTGCTAGTGGCTATGTCTTCATCCCCAGGAGAAGAACATAGCTAAGTGCATATTAGTTTTGTCCAACTAAAAGCCGTTTAGGCATCAGAATTTACCGCGAAACCCATATCGCATAATCTATACGGCAACACTTTGGTAAATAAACTTTTCTAAAGCACTGTTGCTGTTGAACTAGGCCACATTGATTCACAAGTTCAAAAAGAAAAACGAATTTGCGAAAATCTTCACACAATAGCTTTAACCTTGATCAGCCTAATGATATTTGTGGCTGCAAAGACGAATGTTGCTGACACAGCTTGTGCCTTTATAAAATTGCAAGCTTAATCCAGTAGATTAAATATGATGAGCTGCCTGATGTTTCCAGTACTTATTTAAATGATTCGGAACCATCTATATTGTCAACGCAGTCAGAAGAAATAAAGTGCGATATTTCAACATTTCACTATTCACAGTCGCAAACTCAATACGTTCAGAAACACACAAAAGCCATATACATTAATATATGAGCAACAGCAATCGAAGTGTCACAGACAAGAATAAGGCAACCGAATATATTAGCACAAGTGTTTTTACACACAGAGCACAGATTCCTGAGCCTTAATTAGCAACGCCTCAATAAAAGATCGGGCACTGTATTTACGAACAGTCCTGGCCACAATTCAAAGATGGACTCCGTCCACTGAGACAGGCGAAAGTTCCAGATAGGCAAGACACCGGGAAACATTATATTTGTAGCTAAGCAAGTGGTACTGAAACTCTAGGTCCACTTGCTAGGTTACACCAATGAATCGCAATAAAGGTAATTGATACGGACTGGCACACAGACAACCAGGAGTGCTGCAAAGTTACGCTATGCAGGCAACCCGCCCGATTATTTGTATGAACGATTCAACTTGTGACAACGTTGATCAGGGGCTGGCGAAACTATTGGAACTATTGCGTGAGGTCCTGGCCAGGTAAGGCCAGAAGAACTTTTTCGAACTGGCCGAAACGCTAGAAAAATTCTCACTTTGTGCGGAGCTCATGTACTACTCAGACGTGGACCATCTGTTAACTAGTGTGGATCTACATGAAACGATTGATTTACGATTTCATCTTGTGCGACAAAATGTCGGTGAGTCTGCCAGTAGTCTATCTAAGGAATATGATAGTATTGTGCATCGAAAACATACGGTTTGAGTTTTATATTACAGCGTTCGACGGGTTGCTATGCGCAGCCTCGGGAACTAGTCTTAGTAGAAAATTGTCTTGCCATGTTAGAATATCAAGCTGCTGTTGGCATTGATAAAACGAAAGTGAACGGACAATATGTGGATGACATTTTAGTCTTCAAAGGTTGACAATTCTGAATTCCACTCATCCCAACCAGTCGGAATCACGTGAGGTGGAATAATGCGGTTACCTTCCTTTTTCGGTGCACTCATTAGGAGAGGGGCCGAAGGTACACTGCAGCGCACTGTTGACGGCAAATGGGCTGGGAGCGCACAGTACCTTCAAGCATTGTCCCAGTCGCATAAAAATGCAGCACAGTAAAATCCCACTTTTACATAACCAAAGGTATCTTCAGCTCTAAAATGGTACTGCTTCTGAAGGTTTGCTAACAAAAGCCTTAATTTCGGCTGTGTCCTGAAAATTTGCTTCCCAGGAAGAAACCACCGATGCCAACGGCAGTGAGTGTTCATCTGTTCTTGCCGTCAAATTTGGCCATGTAAGAAGTAATATCGGACAGAATCTCCTGTCCGTCCTTATGCACACCAATACGAGTGCCCAGTTGAGACTTATGAATAAAATAAAATGTAGAGCCGTGTTCTGCAAAACCATTAGAGCCTCTCATCGAGCAATTCGGCCTGTCAGGTTTTATATCAGTTCACTTTCATTTGCGATAACATGTACTTAGGCAGAATTCACCGTCAGTTAGCTCAGGCGTTAGATGGACATTCGTCTAATTGGTTGGGACAAGTGCTGACGCAAAAAACGGAGCGGTTTTGAAGATTAATCGAAGCCCGGCGTCGTCTATCACCAAGCGCGTCATGTTATCCCGTCATCATGTGAACACGGAGACAAGGTTCAATGTGTTGTTGCGCAACCAAACGCGACAACGTTGGCAATTAGTAAGACGCCACTAACCTGACCCATCAACGTGTTAGATGCACAAATCTCGTGAGGCAATTAATTCGGTTGCCTTGGTCTCGAATGTAACATTTTGCTTGGCATTGCTTGTTTTTCTTCTATATAACCGTATGTACTTTTCCGCTCATACTGAATTCTCGACAGAGTAACAAACAAAATTTCGACGTCACGAAATATGTCTTCTATTTGCTTTGACGAAATGGATGAAAAGGACTCATTTGTGGCACATTTATCGGTGGGGTTTTATAGAATTGCACTTTTATTGCGAACGAACTTAAGCGTAATATCAATATTATATGGAAAATGCAAATAATGGGTTAATTTCTATTCATGCTCCAGCGAGATTTATTCCTATTGCATCAATCGCCAACCGTAATAGATATAGGAGGATGGGGTTACGAGATATCGAGGCA